ATGTAATAATTTTACTATAATGCAGCCCTTCACACTAGTAAAAGATGATATCCAAAATATATGACAATATATAGTCTTATAACACAATAATGATATATTATCAATAATATGCCCAGCTGTTAGTAGTACAGAAAATAGTATCTCTCTCTTTCTGTCTGTCATTTCTTTGTGTCCGTCTCTATAGTTAGGATTTAATCAAACTGGTAATACTTTCTTCTAAAAGTGTGTGTGTGTGTGTGTGTGTGTGTGTGTGTGTGTGTGTGTGTGTGTGTGTGTGTGTGTGTGTGTGTGTGTGTGTGTGTGTGGTTCACACCACCTGCATAATTATGGGAGTTTTTTTATAGGTGGACTTTGAAAGGCGAATATGTTATTATCAACATGAGTCATTGGCATTTAGGGAAAGCCTGTTACACGCACGCGCATGCATGCATGCATGCACAGACACTGTTACACACACCAAACCAAAGGCGCATACAGGAGACCTGAATAATTTAAACCCATTGATTGCAGGACCACACACACAAACACACAGTTGAAGGAGTCGTGTCGTGACAGTGGAGATGTGTGTTTTCCTCAGTTGTTCCTCCTAATGGCTACACACACACACACACACACACACACACACACACACACACACACACACACACACACACACACACACACACACACACACACACACACACAGTGTAGTTTGGGCTGTCAATACTAATGATGTTTATCATGCCATAAATATAATTAGGCTGACTGTCAGTCATAGTGGTGAACAGAGGGGAAACCTGACAGCCCCACCCCACATATACACACACCAGTTAACCAAGAAAGTACAAAAAAATTATCTCTGTGTGTTAGCTTGAGTGGGTCCACCTCAGGGTCAGAATACAATCTGAATATATTTTGTCTGTTGTTCCATCTGAATAACAAAGAGCTAAGCGTACATTTGCACACATACATGTACCAGTGGTGCTCCCTGTGTGTGTGTTTCACACTTTCACATGCGACAACAGACATTTTATGAAACATTTTCCTGCTCCTGAGCTTTACAGAACTCTGTTTGAAATGTAGATCTGCAGTTTATACACACAGTGTATAACTGCTCTAATCAATGTTTGGAATTTTGCAAATGTGTGTGTAAATTGACTGAGGAATGACATCAAATCACATTTGTATTATATTATGCAATGTATTTTTTCTCCTTTTGTTTACATTATACATTTCATTACATGCTCTTTGTCAAAAAGCAATATTGAACTAATTTATTTAAATGTACTTCCTTTAGAAAGACATTAGCATCAAACAATGTGTATATAGACACAATTATCAATGACATTAAGTAAGTATCTAATGTCTAATGTCAGCCCTTAAGAATATTATATTGGGGTTATATATAAAACAATAGATGAAATAATAAAATGTTAATACTAAAAGAACTGTAGCATCCATTCTTTGTACAATGGAGTGAAGGTGTGCCTGCCGTTACCACATAGCTCATGTTTTTGAAAGAAGACTTGGATTTGGGTCGGAGCACAAAATGCGCACCCTGGGAGCTTTTCATAAATGAGGTCCCTGCTTCCCATTCGTCATTTTAACAGCATCTACGTTCTCTGCCAACTTCATTAAAGTTTTAAATTAACAGAAGTAAAGAGTAACATTGAGATTGAGAGTTTATTAAATTGCATAGAAACTTACATTTGATGCACTTTCCCTACCATTTTATCACAGTTTAGCTTTTGTAGATTCCCATTGTCTACTCCAGCCTCCTACTTTCTATACCATAAGTCTGAATACTAAAGTGTGCCTACTTTTGATACATACGTTTCTCTGATTGCCAGAAACAAAGATTATAAGTTACTCCGATATTTTACGCAATCTCACTCAATTTCTGTGCCAAGTCCTCTTAGACCCCGCTATCCTGACTAGGTAATGTTTCAATTAATAATAATCTGATAAGTTGGCACACTGGGTATCAAATAACTAAATACTGTGTTTAGGCACTATTTGGTTTTCAATAGATGTGGTCTTTCTACATATTTTTTTCCCACAATAAATAATTAAGAATTTATGATCCGTTGCAACAAAAAGTTACGTTTTCGCCAAGCTTGAAAGTGCAGCTCTTGCTGTCGAAAACTCCATTGGAAAAGTTGTTGGGGGACAGAACTCCTCCATACCTTCCTAACACCCCAGATTTATTGTTACACATTTTTCTGCCAATTTGGAGTCCCTTTGCCATGCTTCATATTTTCAGTTGGGCTTTGAACAACAAGCCCTGTATCATCAATCGAACACAATAGATAGCGAATGGTAACTAGCCCACTTATATATTGGTTTTCTACACCCTGTTTCATATAGGCACTCCAATGTAAGACCGCTGGTTTATCAAATTGGTCATTTCTTTTATGGTAAACACCTGTTGATAAAAGGAGGTCATTTACCTTTCTTGTGTTGGCACTTTCTCTACTTTCTGACCCTACTCATTTGCTTTGTCTTGAGTTTCTGTCTGCTGTCCCTCTACACCGCCTCTCCTCTTTAACCCCGGTCTATGACAGTGATTACCCTAACTGCCAGCCAGCCAGCGTTTGTTAGCACCCTGTCGTTATCTCGTCTGTGCCTTGACAGAGGCAGTGAGACTGTTAAGTGTAGCGGACTGTACGCTAGCTGCCTACAGTGAGGCTAAGACTGGGGTGTGTGTTTAGTCTGGGCTGCCCGTTGCCTGATGCTAATGATGGGGAGCGTACTACAGACTGAACATTCTTTGATCTCCCTTCTTTGAAAACCTCAAGTCCAGCCTGCTCCAAGGAGGTTGCTCATTGCATTGCCCCTAGTTTTACTTTGTGCCGATACAATGTATGCATGCATATGCTCTGTGAGAGAACTGTTTTGATCATTATTTCAATTTGAACAGAATGTAAAATTTGTCTTGGTGATATTTTGATATTCAGCACAACCCTGGTATTCTATAGACTCTTGTCGATGCGTGTAGAGAGAAAAGCCGTCTTTTGCCTTATTGATTTGATATCTCATGTTACATCCCTTGTTAGCATCCTGAAGACCACAGAAAAGTTTTGTATATTGCCAACCTGTCCCACCTTTTGCTCTTCCCCACCCCTAATACATTCTCCTTTTTCTTCTTTGGTACAGCTCCAGGAGACTGTAAAGAGGAAACTGGACAGCGCACGATCTCCGCTCAATGGAGAACAGAACGGTATCTGTGATGGAGGCAGCTACTCGCCGACTACCAAACGGGTACGGAAGGAGGGCCCCAGCGGTTTGGACTCACTAACGGGTCTCTCCAACAACAACAATGTACCTCCCATCTCTCCACTGCATCACCAAATGGACATTAAGCCCTTACTTGGCGGGCCAAACACTTCCACCGGAAACAACACTTCAAACAGCAACGGCAACCACATAGGTCAGGGGCCCGATGATCTTGGAAAGAATGGTGGAAGCCATCTCTCGGACATGAAGCTGAATGGCTCGTTGGACCTTGAGGACAGCTTCGGGCTCCTCAAAGACTTAAAACAGGAGCCCCTGGATGACGGGGGTGGGATGGAGTCCTCTGATCCCCAGTCTCTTTCCAATCAGAACAAACTGTTCTCCGACATCAACCTCAATGATCAAGAATGGCAGGAGCTGATCGACGAGCTGGCCAATACTGTCCCGGAGGACGATATGCACGACCTCTTCAATGAGGACTTTGAGGACAAGAAGGAGGCGGAGTTCGGCAGGCCGGCAAACAATCATACACCGGGCCCACAAGAAGCAGCTGGGAACACTACAGCACCGCCAGCAGCAGCCCTGCCTCCACCTCCTCAGCCTGGAGGAGGACCCCAGGTGCCCATGGGCTCTCCACAGGTCAGTGCTCAAAGGGTCAGCAAATAGGCCAAGTACTTGAAGGATAAACATACAATAGGAGAATCTGTCAAATTATTACTCATCTTTGTTTTCCTTTTAATGCTTGAAGAAAACTTCTTGCATGTCTCCAAGGTGAACGTAGTCAAACCTGAATAATTCTTTATGAATTGAATTAATTGGGGGCCTTGTTTAACAACAGTATAACTTTATCCCCCATTAATTGATATACAAATTATTTATTTATTTTATATATAAAAACATATTTGTAACCCCTTTAACCCTTATCTATGCCCAAATTTGTTAGAAGCTTAGGTGAATCAGCCTCAAAGTGATATTTTTCTTATGTTCCCTTGCATTTTACTCACTTTGAATGTCTATTCACAAGAATAGAGTTTGAGTACAATTCTACAGGTTTAGGTGGTTAAGATTCTTGATTCCAATTCATAATATGTGTACACAGTTGTGTCTTTATTTTACATCTAAAATATTTGATACATGAATAGAAACTGTGAGATGTGCAGAACACAAAACAAAAACGTATGAAATGCTTACATAGTGTGTTGGGGTTATGATAAAAGAATGTTTAATAATCAAGCTGTGAGGTATGTTGGTCCAAGACAGACGGCTTCCAGCAATACTCAAATAAATCTCAAGTTACGAACAGATTTTCCTCGACATTGTATTGTGCAGGTGTAAAGGTATTTTCGCTGTTGATGGATAGTCATATCAATACTTAGTAAACAAATATAAATAATTCCTAAAACAAACTATATGAAGATAGTTTTATTTAAAAATGTTTAAATTGTTTTTACTTAATAAAGTACAGAACTGAAGCAAGGAGGCGTTTCTCTTAAAGATTGAAACCAGGAACGTGCAGTTAGCCTGGCTCTTCCCAAAGTAAAAAAAAAGAACCTTCCCAGATATTTAAAACTGTTTGATTAGCAAATCTAATTTGTTTAGTACAATTTATGTAGTTATTTGTTTTGTCTCATTTGTACAAAAACAGAAATATAAGAACAGAACGATAAGATGCTTGCTTCTCATGGCTATTTCTTAATGAACAAACCAATATCGGGCCAATTCTGACTCAAATAGCTGGAACAGTTTTCCTTCACAATGGGGTTTTAGTATACACTATTCAAAGGTACCAAACCTTGTGACAACAACATTCTGACAGTAACTCCCGCTAAAACAACATTATTTTTACTTTGCTTTGTGTGTAAAGACTGAACAAACAAGAGACAATGTGTAAACTTTATTTTTAGCCTAGACAGAACTAGGCGACCTGTTATATGTCTTTATTTTCAACCAGATTTGTGTTGAAACATTCATTTAAGAGTTCATGAGTCTCATAGTATTATTTTTTGTTTTTGGACCATTCAGGTCCGACCATCGTCGTCAGGCCCTCAGTTTGCCACCACTGCCAACGGAACGCCTCCTCAGCAACCTTTGCAGCAGTCTCCAGCCGTTGCCATGGCATCAGGTTCCCCATTGCACAACTGCGTGGCTCGCTCCCCTCAGACCCCAACCCAGGCTCAGACACAAGCAGTCTCTAGGCCAGCCAATGGATACATGATGAACCCAGGCCCGGGGGTCAGTCAAGCGGGCACGGGACCTGGAGCGACAGGAGTTGCACCTGGAGGTCAGCCTGTTGGGCCAGTGACACCAGAACTTTCTCCAGCAGAGCAGCTAAAAGCAATGGCTCAGCAGCGTGCCAAACTGCTGCAGCAGAAGCAGCAACAAGCAGCTAACTGGTCCCCTGCAGGAGCTCCAACCAGTCCTTATAACTCTGGTCCCTTTAACCAAGACAAACCCAACAGCCCCATGATGTACCCACCGCAAGCCTTTAACGCTCCACAGGGCCCTCTAGTGGCTGGGATGACCCCAAACAATGGGCCCAAAGCCCCCATGAACAACTACCTCCCTCACAACCACATGGGCATGATGGGCCAGCAACAGCCAAACAGCATTAACCAGAACGCCATGACCAAACAGCAGCAGCACACGGCAGCCATGTTGTCGTACAACAACACCAAACCGCTGAGTCACTTCAGCGGCAGTGGAGTCGATCACATGGGCCAGAGGATGACTCCCCCCATGGGAGGGAACAATCAGGTCAAGAACCCCATGATGCCTCCCTACATGGGTGGTGGGGGAGGCGGCGGCCAGGGCGTGGGGCCGGGGCAGACCCAGGGGCCAATCCCGGGACAGACGGCCCACCTGAGTGAGGAGCAGAAGAGGATGCTGCTGATGAAGCAGAAGGTGTTGAACCAGAACATGCCCTACAGCGCCATGCAGCCTCATGGACAGGTAAGGCAAGGCACCTGTTGCTTCTTCACTTCGCTCAAGGAGGTTATGATTGCGGTTTGGTTTAACTGTTTGTCTGCAAGATTACGGTATGACTACTGGCACGGTCTTCTAGAAACTCTGTGTAAGCAAGCACCAAGGATAGTGCTCTCTTAGTGGCCTTCTAGTAAATCAATGGGGCGAAACAAAGTTGTTTGCATTGTATTGGTTCGGTTCAAGAGAAGTCAATTCCTGTTGCTTCTGCGCAGAACCAGGAGAAAGGTTTCCTTCAGCTGTCTGTAGCTCAAGCTCCGATTCCTGAGTCATTCTTCAGATGAAAACAGAAATCTGGAGTTGAATGCCATGTTAAATGATGCTGGTGTTAAAGAACTCTCAACCTAAGACCTTGGGAACACTTGAAAGGTTTCGCTTGTCAATCTTTGATGTGCTACAGGAAACATTGACTGTCCACTGGAGACTTTCTATAAAATGTATAAGTAAAATGGATGCAACACACAGATTCAATTCGAACAGTTGACCTGGGCAGATTATGGAAAAATGGTTGCTGTTTTACAAAACCTTCCTAAGGTGTAGCCAGAGAAGGTAAAATGGCGGTAGTTTCCCCAGCAACAAGCCAGGGCTGGGAATAGGCATAGGAAAATGGCCTGTCGACAGTGTATTGATGCCTCTGCAACACTAGCAGCACTGATAGCCTCTCCCCCCACACCCACTCCTCCCAGACACACAAGCGCATGCACTCACACACCACGGCAAACACCAAAGCTAAACGGCTCCTTAGCTCATATCCCCAATCTGTCACAGCTGACTGATGGCTGAGATTGGAGCGCTAAGCCAAGCTAGCTGCTGTCATTACCAAAAGCCCGCCTCTGGCAGTTTGTTTTCCAAGCCCCAGCGACCAGCGCAGCCCACTGTAACGCTCCGGTGCTCTGGCCAGGTGTCAGGTGTCTTTAATAACCCGCCGGACGGAGGACGTTAAGGAGAATAGGAGGACTATACCCTCACAAATAAACAGTCACACAAGTGCAAGATCAGACTTCTTCTTATTATCTCAGGGCCATCGTCAATAGAAAGTGTGTGTGCATTCTTGTTGATGATTCACTTGTCAATGTTGTCTCCCTTTATCTCTCTGTCTCTCTCACTCTACCTCCCTTGCGTTCATGATATGGCTACCGTCAGTCACCTCCTCCTCCCGTCTAAAGATCTCTACGTCTCCTGTCCTGCTCCTCCGCCCCCCTCTTCTCCCTCTCTTTCTCCCCCTGCCAGAGACACTCAGCACCAATAAAGGAGCAGATTTATTAATATGGGGCCATTGTGGCTGCTGCCTGAAGGGCTGTGTGTTTGTGTGCGTAAGTGAGCGAACGAGCGCGAGCCTGTGCACATGCATGTTTGTGTGTATCATAGATTTTGGGGAGTGGGGGTAGGAGTGGAGAGATTTATTTGAGTGAGCAGAGGAGAATTGGAGAGCGGGAAGGGAGCGGAGAGGTGGAAGAGAGAAAGAGACTTAAAGGAGAATGCAGAAAGAGAGAGATTTATGTAGAGTGAGGATGGAGCATAATAAAAAGAAAGTCAAGGGCCTGGAAATAAGTGAGCAATGCAGAGTGTCTAAAATGCAAAATATTCACAGTGCATGGCGGGTGCAGACGGCTTCATTTTAGCATAGGATATGAACAAGAAGTGGTAACATTTAAAGGGGAAGCTGAACCTTTTTACAAATCAATATCACTTCACTACGGATACTACCAAGAAATAGAAATAGTTTTGATTAAAGTCTTCTGTTGTTCTTATAATGCTTTGTCTAGTCTGAGATAATAACTGACGATGTCATAGTGATGTCATCTTGGCTTGGAGAGTAGATATCTATGAATTAAAAGTCAGCATTCAAAATGGGAGTTTGATTTAATTTCACATTGGATTTATAGCGATTGGGAACATCAGCTCAATAGAACAAATGTTTACGGAGGTAATAATTCAAGCAAGAAGCAGTGTCATGTTCTCATAGACTTCTATACAACCAGACTTATTTTTACAACCATCAAATATTAGAGTAAATCCATGTTTAAGGTACATCTGCATTGGCTTCACGTTTCTGACTTGTAGAGTTGCTGCTAAAGAGAGGGGAAAAGACCGTTTGGATTGGTACCAGTAGATACCTAACATTTAAAAAAGTGGTGACGTGCCATCCCTACCTTTTTAGATTTCTTCAACAGTGTTCCCCTTGCAAAGCTAAAATATTGGATGACAAACCAATGGCAGTATTATCAATACTTTCATCAGTCATTATTGTTTAGGTGCTAGAAAAGAGATCTCATGATACAAACAATGTATTGCTGCTTTAGCAAAAGCAGTCAGTTTCAGTTCATAGAGAGAGAATTAGTTGGACCATACAGGTCAACGTATGTATGTCTGTTGATTTATGTCAAAACTAAGCTGAATTAGTAGTCTGTACATGTATATTTCTTGATGCTGAGTAATATTTTTTTATATGCAGATTCCCTTGGTAGTATTTGTTTTTGTTTGGGCAGGTGATGCTAGCTGTGTTTAGATTCAGATTCCTTTGTCTGCATTAGAGTATGTACATTAACCTTTGGCTATGTGTGTTGTCTCACATCACTGTCGCTCTGCTCCATCCTCGCTTCCTCTCTGATTCTGTTAGTGTGTGTGTGACTGTGTGTGTGTAGGCTAATCCAGTTAGCAGCTGCTCGGGGAAACTTCAGCCTCGCTCCTCAAAAGCTCGTTAGTCAAGCTTTAATTGTTGCTCCCTCGCTTTGCATATCGCCATGACGCTAATTTATGCTCGTTGTCGCGGTTACCGTCGCCACGGTGGTGGATGTCTCAGAGGAAGCAGCGAGCGGCGGGAAGCAAAAGGCTCGTGTGTGTGTGTGTGTGTGTGTGTGTGTGTGTGTGTGTGTGTGCGCCAGAGTTTAGAGACGGATGTGGCGTGTTGCACAAGCGTGTGTGCAGCTGTGTGAAGCTAGCAGCACAGGGGCGGGTCTCTGGGGTTATCTGAGTGATGATTGGACGAGAATGGATTGACAGATGTTGGGCTCATAGGATGGCTTCTGGTGTCATCCTGATAAATTAGAGTGGGATGTTTGACTGTTTGTGCGTGTGGAAGTAAGCACATGTGTGTGCTTGTGTGTAAAAGACCAGGGTGTTGCACACAGACTACAGTGCACGAAGGAGCTGGTGCTAATAGCCCTGTGAGTCACGACATCATCACACACACACACACACACACACACACACACACACACACACACACACACACACACACACACACACACACACACACACACACACACACACACACACACACACACACACACACACACACACACACACACACACACAAATAAACAGGCTTTGAAAAACACCCACAGGCATGCACTCTCCTGCTTTCCACCTTCTCCACCCCTCTCTTTCCAGAGGTAAAGCCTCTCTCATCATCCTCTCTGTCCTTTTTGTTATCCCTTTCTTCATCATAGGAGAACCCTGACCTCCACAAGGTCTCAGGGGTGGCAAACACACACACACACACACACACACACACACACACACACACACACACACACACACACACACACACACACACACACATGCAAAGCCAGTTGCCCAGAACATCTCATGTGTTGAACTAGAACCAAATATGTTATGTGTTCTCTAGACCAATATTAATGACAGATTTAATTGTTTTTCTTCTCAACAATTTTCAAATGTTATATTTTAAAAGTTATCAATTTATTATTATAAATTATTATAATAAAAGTAACAATAATAATAATTCAAAAATCAATAATAATAATAATACACTTTATTCATATAGCACCTTTCAAAACAGATTTGCAAGTGCTTTCACATAAAACTGAAATAAGTTGAAAATACAACAAAGAAAACAGCATCACGTAAAACACAGTAATGATATCCTTTATTTATATATTAACTTTTGTAAACATAGTTATGAAGCGCTTTACAAAGGAGAACACATTTAAAGGGGCCCCTGTTATGCAAATGTTCAGTTCATATTGTATTTTGTGCCTTTCTGTGACATGTTTACACATACAATGCGTTGACGGGCTAACCAATAGAAATGCAAGTTTTTATTATCAGGGCATTTCTGGCAGGAAGGTCGGCGTTTCATGCTATATGTTCCTATGGAAGACACATTTTATTTTATATAAATGGATATATATATATATATATATATATATATAATCCCTTTTATTTAATATCATTTTTTTAACTCCCAAATATCAAGTACTAATATCGGCATTGTACTTTTCCCAACCACAATTTGAAGGATGGGGGGAGAAAGAACTGTCCTTTTCTCGCTTTCCTCCATCTTTTCCCATGAGCTGGAGATATTACCTTCCCGCTCTCACCCTCTCCTCCTCACGTACACACATTTCATCTCCTGCTCACTCTGTCACCCCCCACACTCTGTCTGAGTCTCACACACACACACACACACACACACACTCGCACGCACCACACAAGTGAATACTGCTCACTCTCTCACTCCTCCATCTCTCTCACACATGTCAGGGCTTGAGCAGAGCCGCTCTCAGTTCCTGTAGAGAGGCTCTGAAGATGGGGAGGGAGGGGGAGGCAGGAGGTGGAGAGGGGGGG